GTCGGAAGAACTCTCTTGCAATTTTTGTATACTCGTCTTTGGTATGTATCAAATTCAAAGCTCAGTTATTTACCTTTCTCTGTTTTTCGTTTACATGATTATGATCCATGTAATTCTTACAATTTATCAGGTTGGTTTGGGATCTTTTCTCCTCCGCTACATACCTGGGTTATTGCGTTCAATACTCACCGAGATCGGAGTTAGTGAAGACATGTATAATCCTGTAAGTGATCTTGAATTATTCTTATAGTTGCCCTGGTATGTCCACCATAAAGCAAAATGCCTTTGTAATTTTCCATCCAGATTATTCGATTACATATCTTGGTCATGTTTTGCTGAAAACCTTTATTATATTTGAAATGATTTGCAATTTCTGTTTTGCTACTTGTAGGAAGCTACCGCATTGGTCATTTCTTTATTTTCATCTTCTGGAATTGTTGAGTTAGCTGGTTTACTCAGCCGAATATGGTGATTAATTATTGTTTTTTTGTTGCAAGTATAAACAACCATAACAATCGAGGGCACTATGGAAACTTTGGTTGATTACCCAACGAAGCTGGCCTTAGAGTTTGTTTTTATTTAAAATTAAGTTGTTGTAGGTAGTTTCAAGTTGCTTTATTGAAAAAAGAAGGCAGTTTTAAGTGATCTGCCTGGAATAATCAATAAACAGCCATCTATTAGGGGAAACAAATTCTCTCGTATCTGCATGGACTTCGGCATATAGTTGCCTATGCTCTAATAAGATATGAACTGGTAAACCTCGTTTCCCAACAAAGTATGAATTGTTAAATGTCTCTCTCTAATAAAATATGAACTCTTTGATATGCTTTTTGGTTTTGATGTACTCTGTATTCTCTTTCAGGTAAGATGTGCTTATAATTCTGCACTACTCCATTACTCTTACCATCTTGGATTTTAGTTTTATTCAGGTGTGTACTAATTGATGCCAAAATCAAAATTCAAGTTTTTGAATGGCATGATACCTCAGAGGCTTAGAAGCACACTGTCGTTTTTTACATGGGTCATCTGATGTTAGTTATTCTTGTTCTTGCTTTTGTTATATTATGGTTTTCATCTTGCATCCGAGGTTTTAGTCACTTGGGGTTTGTAATGGTTGATGGATCAGAAAAAAAGGTTATTGATTCTCAAGATACGCCTGAAGTCACACCATTATTCTTTATGTGGGTCATTGATGCTAGTTATTGTTCTCGTTGCTTTTATTATATTTAGGTTATATGTTTTGTATGTGGGACTCGCATATCTTTTTCTTTGGGTGAATTACTTTATGAATAGACTTTACATTCTTCATTCACATGATACCCTGGAGTTGACCTTTGTATCATATGAATTATTTAAGAGGTCTTGCTGCACCTTATTTTATTTTTGTTGTGACCCAAACACTAAGGATTATGCAGTAACTGTTGGGGTAATACTTTGGAAATGTTTTAAATTTTTTGCAGTTGGCTATATTTCTTCTGGCTTTTGTTTTTCTGGCTGGAGCATGGTTGGGCTTCTGGGCAGTCCGCAAACTGGTTCTGACAGAAGATGGATCAATTGATATAATGACATCTCAGTTTGTTTATTGGTCCATCCAAATTCTGGGTGCTCTTATGACTTTTCAGGTATGTTGTATCAGCATTCACTTCAATTATCGTCTATCAAAATTTCAATAGCAGTGAACATGTAAATGTCTCATTTTCTAGAAAGTGATTTTTTATATCCCTTTGTTTTCAGAGTTCTGCCGATCACCTACTGGCAGTGGAAGCTACAGTATTTGGATTCTTAGTATCAGTAATAATGAAGAAAATCTTTAGATGGAGATTCCTCCGTCGTGTGTACAGGTATCTGTCTTTCCCGTTTTGGAGCTTAGTCATGGCCTTCCATTACTATGATCTGCCATCATTTCCTTCGTCAATATCTACAATGTAAGTAACCACCAAACTATTCCTTTGTCAATATCGACAATCTAAGTAAACACTTACTTAGGAGTTGTCTCCAGATGCCAATAATGCTTAAAGTGCGAATAGGTACAAGTGTGGGTGTTATAACAAAAATGGATACTCATTTCTCATTTTTCTAGTAATCAAAAGGATAATATATAACTTGTGGATGTTATACATGCTTGTAATGATCTTTTGAATTCTCCAAACTTGTATCACATGATCTACAGTTTCATAATTCATGCATGTTTCTTAATTTTCTTTTGAATTTTGTGATTTTATTTGGCCATTCATGATATGCACGGAATGTTCCTGCAGGAAATTGTCAAAATCACACAGAAAGAACAGGAGAAGATTGGAGATTCCTGATTCTCCACCTTCTCCGCCTTCTCCGCCTTCTCCACTGTCAGATTCGGGGTTATTTGCTTCTACCTTCCACACCACACCTGAAAGGAGAAAATTCTCAAAAGAAGAGTGGGAAATGTTCACCGCAGAGACGACAAACAAAGCCTTGCAAGAACTTGCTTCTTCTCCTGATTTTCACAGATGGTGCTCCTCAAATGTAGAAAGAATCAGTGTAGCCCCCCGGAGCACGAGAAAAGTTGCTGATCAACCGTGCCGTTGGTGGCTTCTTTAGTGGTGCTAGGCAAGCAGCTGACAACATGTCCTTCGCAATGTCAGCACGGCAAAGTTAAGTTTGAAAGAAACCGAGATGTGTGTTTGGAAAAACATAGTCTGGAAGGAAGAAGCAGGAACAACTGTGATGTTGTAAATTCCATAGTTTTGTGCAGTTCATTATTTTTGGGCAACCTGTAGGCTGTATGGGACGGATCGTTGTTTAAGTTAACGGTAGGCTGATTTTTTGGCTCTCTCTCGCAATGATGTAACCCGGAAATCTAAAATTTAACAATTTGTAGTATTACTTGTACAATTTATTTTGTGATTAACATTCAAAAAATTAAATTATTTCTATTTCTTTTTCTGTGGGATTAAATGCTGTCTGTTTCTCATTTGCAATTCTTAATGGGAACTGAGTTACTTGTCAAGCGAGAACACTGATATGAAGTGTTTTTGTCAATCTTTTTTGTTTTTAGATAAAAATGTTTTCTTAATGAAGAGAATTACGAAAAGATCTTCTGTGAATATCAACACCCTTATCGAGGGTCACGGTATAAACAAATTTTAATATTAAAACAGTAAAAGAAACACATACGCATCTATAAACAATCTATTTTCCTCCGCATCAAAAAAATAATAATCTATTTTCCTCTGTTTTCGTTTTGGTTATGATAGAGGGATCCGGGTTCTCTGTTCTTATTCTCTCTGCTTTATTTTTGGTCTCCACACGCCACCTTATTAAAATTTAATCTAACGCACTTAAAAGTTAACACATCATTCTTCAAGCAAAAACCCAATTTACTCATAATTAAAAAAGAAAAACAATATCCTAACGTCAAACTTAACGTCCTACCTTTCTTCTTCTTTTTTCTTCCTTCTTCCTGTCACACGTTTTCTTCCTGTCTATAATCACAATTCATTCTGGTTGTTGCAATGTTTGTTTACTGGTGGAGCTTTGGTTGTTTAATATTGTTAATAAAGTTTTAACTGTCAATTTACTCTTTGAACTTGTACACTATTTTCAATTTGCACCCTCAACATTTTTCTAGAAAATGTACCACATGAACTAATTTTTATTGCCAATTTCCCCTACCGTCTAAATCAACAACATCTCATCTAATAATCCCAGCGGTTTTCTTCTCCTCCCATTCCCCGTGACCACCACCCTTCCCTCCTCCCCCCATTACCCATGACCACCACCTGCAAACTCC